GAAATTATTACTATCGAACATGCTTGCAAGACCTGTGAATAACGCTAATTTCGTTGCAATACGCAAGTCGTTTTTTTTCACAGTTATTTGATCCTGATCAGGCATCATCTTATCCGCAATATGTTTATAGATTTTTCCATTGGTATTAACATAAAATGTAGAGAAGCCATCGTACCATCTGAAATGATTATACATAATTGTCTCGCTATTCCAGTACCACAAAGATTAATAATTTCCATTAAAATTGAAAGAAACCTAAATTAATTTTTTTTAAAAGTAAGCTTTTTAACAAAACTAAAAGCAACTTTCTTTTCAAATAATATAATAATCTTAATTTTAATTAATGTTAATTAACGTTTATGAATAATTTTATTATAATTATTAATGTGATTTTTAATAATGATTATACTTACACTTCATGGTTGTCATTTATACTATCTTGTATTTTCCAAAATTTATACTTCCAAAACATAGAGATTACTTTCCAGCCTGTGACACCTCGTATACGCCACCGAACTTTTACAGTATCATCTTCAGTATGCATTGTGATCTTAATGATATCGAGTTTGATATGCGCAAACTTTATATGACCAATTACTCTCAACCATATTAACTGCTTTGCATAATTCATAAGTCCCCTGTAATATTTGTTCAAATATATATTATATATTATTAGGAAATAGAAATATTTAGAAATTTGTAATAAATTTAAATACTTTATAAAATTAATTTACCTTGTTGTTGTCCCTCTAATGTTATTGATAAACGTTATATCCTGGGTATATATCGAATAATTCAAAGGTTTCACAAACAGCTTTGGTAACTGCAAATAATGTTTCAATCAGAAAGATTGCTTGGCATAAAAAGACCTTCTCACAGGATGTCTCAGAATTATTGCACTTTATCTTTCTGAAAATGTATGTGAACTATGAGACTTAATAAAAGTGCAATAATTTTGATGTATCCTGTAAATCACTTGACATACATCTTGACTAAGACAATCAACTATGGATTGCAGTTGTTCCTGCGATGGTTTATTCTCATTTTCTTGTGGTGATTGCTGTTGTGGACTTGTCTTTAGAATGTCCATGTTGTCAGAAGCAAACAAGACTTTTATATCAACATTTGTTTCTCGATTACTGTACAAGCTTTCTAAAGAGATCATTCTGTTATTATCTGGAATCGGATCTTTAGCATTTCCTACATCTTGTATCTGAAAGGTTTTAATATTGTTCGATGCAATTCCTGTAGAAGCTACATGTTTCCTATTTTTCAAGGAGGTTACACTGAGTCTTTGTAATTTATGCAGCCTACGTGGACTCTGGGCCCAATATATTGTTGCGTTCTTGCTCTCATCATCGGCATATCGTTTAGTTAGTTTCTCATTCCATTGGTTGCGACTGTCAAATGAAGCCAGGGATAAATTCGGAGGTAGAGTACAATTTACAAAAGGTATCGATTTGCTGACAGTATTTGCTCTTACTGACAGGGCTCTCTGTGTACCCAAAAACTGAAAATTTAGATATAAGAGTCCAGATTCAATAGATTAAAGAAAAAATATAATTTGACAATTATTTTTATATGTCATAAATAGAATTAAAAATGACAATTAGATTTATTACAATTCAAGTTATAATTCTTCCTACATTCAAGCCTAAAGCGCAACTTAATTTTAATTTTCGTGGTATAAATTATTTATTATTAGAAATTTATTGCTATAAATTTACAAGTCGCATACATTTCTCGTCACTTTTATTTATGACTGAAAAAAAATGCACGATACTTTCGAAACATCCTGTATACCGCGCATTTACAAACAATCGGTTCGAACGAATATACAGGACATTTTAGTTTTCACAAACGTGACATTTGTTATTCATTTATCTTTTGAATGGCACGACACGAGAAGAATTAGAAGTTTGCTCGCTTTCGCTCGCAAAACTGCAATACGAAAACTTTACGGAAAGCCTCCTTTCGCGGATCACGAATAAATGTCTCGAAGCCATGCGATTATGTTTTTTTTT